TCATAACGCAGGAAGCGCATGTGGACTGTGCACGTAGCCGCTCTCGGTTGAAAACCTCCAGGAATCCGGTTAATGAAATTTTGGTCCCAGAAGCAGTGAACAAGCGCCTCTGATCTCAAATCTAGGGCCCGTGATGGACATGACAAGGACCCTGATGTTTGAGAGAGTCCTCAACCCACTTGGTCGACAGGGCGCGATATTGAGGGCCGGTCTCTCGTTTTCTCCTCACACACCGGCGCAGGGCTTCAGGAATCCCGGCAGCTGCTAAAGCGTGCAGTTCAGTCGTTGATTTCAGGATAGGTCTTGGTCTTGGATGGTCAGTTCAGCAGTGCAACGCTTAGGCAGTGAAGATGGCCCCTGAAAGCTGCAAAGTTCATATGGAGGCCGCAATCATTGGAACAGGCATTGGGGTATACTCGGTATACTCCTAACATGGGGACTAGAATGACCAGAAAGGAATATCAGTACATGTTATTGCGCACTGGCCCGACCCTGCACTACCATGAACGCAGAGCAGCCTTTGGCCGATCAGGTCAAGGAAGGTCCGCGTGAAGTCGGCGATCTTCTTGCTAGGGAGGGTCACCCCTGAGCTTCGTAGGGCTTTGGGGGCTTTAGGGTTTAGTTTGTTTTTTTGTTGGGGGGGATTGAGAATTGGATGTTGCGCTTCGGGTTTGGGCTTTGGGGTTTTCGGCATAATTACTTGCAGTAACCGCTCACATGGAACGTGCAGGGCTAAGGGGTTCAGTGTTTGGGGCTAAGGTACAAAGCTGCTTTTACAGGGAACGCTCCAAAGAAAGAAGTCATTGTTACTAGACTCCCTGCCAAGAACCAACAAGCTACAAAGCCTTCGGATCCCATCTGCACGCTTTCTTCATGTTTGTCTTGGCTTCGTTCCTGAAGGTGTGCCGATGATATCAATTCTATACCTGACACACTTTACAGTCCCTCAACTCTAAATCCTCTAGCCTTTGTGCAGTTCCCTACAGGGCCGCTTCAGAAGGTCCCGAGAAATTGTGGCTTGCATGTTGAATGAAGAGCAGGCTACTGCAACGGTTTCCCACTGCAGGAGATGTCCAGATTGTTGGTTACGAAATTTTCAGCTTTGGGATGTGGCTTTGGGGCTCAAGAGCTCCCGATTCCCGAAATCCTCCGAAATTCTGGGCCTCCTGAACCAAAAAAAAAGGATTATAAAGTCCGAGTGGCGAACGACCTGGGCATGACCCAGAGAAACATGGTCTGGTGCACCAAGGAGCCCATTGTAGCAAAGTCCTGGGCCCCATCACAGTTCATTGCAGTGGCGGTTTCAATGTACCAGCATGTTGAACTAGCTTTTCTAACTCCCTAACCCAAACTAGAATGCAGCCGACGAATGTAAGGGCCGCAAATGAACACGATGCAGCTTTGACGGCTGAAGCTATAGGGCTGTCATCGAGACTGGGGCGTCCACGCGCCCGGGGGAATTACATCGTGCAAGATTGCGGTGCTTGCCGGTGTGATGCAAGATCATGCAACACTTTCTGCTTTCGGCACATGCGAGCACTCTGGAGTGCCTGTTCTCTAAGGTGCACTGCAGGCAACAGTTTGCCGCCAAAGCCTCGATATGAACTGACTGGTGCCATCGATCCCACCCTAAGACTCTGCAGCCCCTCTTTTACAATCTCAATCCTCCGAAGCTTCCCCCAACACTTCCCAAACTTCCCTAAACCCTAAAACTTCCCAGCGTCCCTAAACCCTAAACCCTAAAAACTTCCCAGACTTCCCTAAACCCTAAACCCTAAAACTTCCCAGCGTCCCTAAACCCTAAACCCCAAAAACTTCCCAAACTTCCCTAAACCTACACCCCAAAACGTGAAGACGAGTTGCGCTCGAGCTCTCCGGCCTGTCGAGGCAGTTTTCCGAAGTCTTAGGGTTTAGGGCTTAGGGTTCATTTAAAGGTTTTTTTTCAAGGGTTACTATAAGGGATCTATAAGGGTACTATATAATGGAACCTGATGAAGAAACCTTGGGCCTTTAGTAGGGTTCCTTATTTACATGAACCCTACTATTTTTTTGTTTTTTGGGCCAGGGTTTCTTAATCAGTTTCCTACACTAGACTTCGTTTCTGCCTCTCGCCTGGCTGACTGGCTTAGGGCTGAGGGTTTGTGGTTTAGGAATTTCCAGTCTCCGCATAGATTTGCTTTGGTTGCCAGAGGGCAAGATCATACGCAAATGCGCACAACATCTTAACGACGGACACCAATCCATGGCCCCTGCGGCAAAAACTCTGTTTCAATTACACAACTCCGACGAAGCGGATGTCTCGAGGACACTGCAGGCTGCAGGGATCCTGCAACCTTCACCTCTCAGCCAGACTCGTCGCTGCATAAATGCTTGCAGGGTGTTGCGATCTTCTGAGATCCTCCCGAGCCTTTTTCCCGCCGGCATAGCCGGCCAAGGCCGTGATGTCGCCCTCCCGGCCTTGCGTGACGCATGGTGCAAGCAAAGCGTTGCATTGGCAAGGTGCAGCAGTTACAGGAGTTGCCGGGCGCTAGAGCTTGTTTTAGCTCGCATGTATACAAAAGATCGAGCCCCAACTGTTTGCTGCCCAGCGGCGACCCAGCTCCAAAGCTTCTTTGATGGCCTCATGGCGTCTTTGCATAAATCTAGGACCCCAGGAAACAACGACTGCAAAAGGCCTGACGACAAGCAACTGATACAATAGTAGTCACTACTGAGACTGGTACTAATAAGAAGAGTATAACACTACAAATAGTAGTAATCAGCTGTGCTCTTCGTTCTGATCTTTTGAATGGGCAAGACCTGACATCCCCAGAAACACACATTCCTAGACCTCAGACTAAGGGGCCGAAAGTCTTCTGACTCCTGGCATTGAAACCCTAACGACCGTGCGACCGTAATGATACCGGTGATGACAACGACGACGAGCCCGTCTTGTCATGCCAGCAAATAAGCCCAGCACGAGGTCGTGTTGCATGCCTCAGCTCGTTAAGTCTTGTGGTCGTTTTGTGCTATGTGTCCATCCTAGCGGCTTGAGTGTCTAGATTTATGAGCCGTTTTGGGGACGGTAGACCAGGCTTTGACATATCGAAATCGTCGAGGAATTTATATTCATCTCATGGCCGGTTGGATGCACAATGGATCGCTTCTGGTTTGTGGTTTCAGGCCACGGCCAAAAATCTTGTTCCCTTCACTGGTTGTGTCTGTCCCTCTGCATCTCCAGGCATAGGAAAGAAGAGAAGAACCTTCGCCGAGCGCGTGCATTCGTTTGCCTCTCTCTCTCTCTCTCCCTCTCTCTCCCTCCCTCTCTCTCTCTCTCTCTCTCTCTCTCTCTCTCTCTCTCTCTCTCTCTCTCTCTCTCTCTCTCTCTCTCTCTCTCTCTCTCTCTCTCTCTCTCTCTCTCTCTCTCTCTCTCTCTCTCTCTCTGCCTCTCTTGACGGCATGCAGGCGTACCTCACCGACTCTCCGTCTCTCTCTCTCTCTCTCTCTCTCTCTCTCTCTATCTCTATCTCTATCTCTATCCCTATCTCTATCTCTCTCTCTCTCTCTCGCTCTGCCTCTCTCGGCATGCAGGCGTACTCTCTCCGTCTCTCTCTCTCTCTCTCTCTCTCTCCTCTCTATCTTATCTCTATCTCCTATCTCTATCTCTCTCTCTCTCTCTCTCTCTCTCTCTCTCTCTCTCTCTCTCTCTCTCTCTCTCTCTCTCTCTCTCTCTCTCTCCCTCTCTTCACAGCATGGAAGCGTACCTCGCCAACTCTCCATCTCTCTCTCTCTCTCTCTCTCTCCCTCTCCCTCTCTTCACGGCATGCACGCGTACCTCGCCGACTCTACGTCTCTCTATCTCTCTCGATCTCTCTCTATCTGTCTCTATCTCTCTCTCTCTCTCTATCTCTCTCTCTATCTCTTTCTCGTTGTACAGATGTACAAGTTGAAGTGCGCTAGGAGAGCCCTCTGAAGACCCGGCCCTGTTACAGCTTTTCATTACACACCACTAACCTTCGACACGGGGTGCTCCAGAAATTGCCTGCCCCGAAGTACACGTCCACCTCTGAGTCGGCTGCCCTTGGCTGGTGCCACAGTGAAGGTGCAAGCCGTGCCGGGTGCGAGGTTAAGGGCTCAGGCTTCAGTGTAGCGTCAGAGTGTAGGGCTTTGCTTCGACGATGTAAGGTCGCAAGCTTGAGGAGATGACGGCACTATACCACTAACATCTGCACTAGCACTGCTGCTGCTACAACTACAACTACTACTACTACTGCTGCTAGGGCTAGGGCTAGGCTTAGGGCTAGTGCTTGTGCCAGTGCCAGTGCCAGGGCTAGTGCGCCTGCGACAACTACACGACGACGAGCGCTACTCGTACTGCCACGGCGGCGATTAGCTTGGAGTACTACAAGTCAAAACTGGCTTCACTATCATCACTATCGCCATTACGAGTCCCAGCCCCTTCCTGGTCCCGCAGGACTTACCATTGGGGGCCCAAGCTTCGCACACGGGGGGATTCTGAAAGATTCCGGCTGACTGAAAAAAGAGCTCGGGGAGCAAAGAATGCTTTGGAGTCGTTAAGTTGTTGTTGGGTTGGGCGGGGGCAGGGGAGTGCGTTCGCAGCATGCCCGGGAATTTTGGGGGCTTCGGTTATGCACTTCCGTGCTGAAGTCTGATGAAGACTTGATGCCGCCTGCGGCTCCGATCAAGGAGCAACATGTATATACAAATATATACAAACAAGTGTATATATACATATATATATATATGTATACCTATAAAAAAATATATATATATATATATATATATATATATATATATACACATGCGCACACTGGGCACTAACCTGCACATGCAAACACACAAGCCGTAACAGCTGAACATGCAAAAACAGAGAATTGAAGCAATAACATTTTTGTCGAAACATCAGATACACCCTACCCCGAAACCCTGAACCCTAAACCCCAAACCCCGGTTAACCCTTATGGATCCTTTATAGTATCTCTTATAGACCCCTCTAAAGGAACCTTAAAGTCTAAACCCTGAACCAGGTCAAGCTGCCTCGCAGCAGGTCCGCAGCCAACTGCCACGAAAGCAGTCAGTGCAGCTGCCAAACCTCTGAACGGCGATGTCGCTGGGTTCCTTTAAAGGGGCCTATAAGGGTTATACGATAAAGGATCTACACTTTTTCAAGCGGGCTTCGACGCTCACAGGGTTCCTGTAAAGCGGTCAAAAAGTGTTACTATAAAGGATCTATAAGGGTTTAAGGGAGGTTAGGGTTCAGGGTCAGGAACGTCCGTGTTCTGCGCTGCGCAAGCAGTGCTTCGGGGATACGACAACATGGGAGACTCAGGAAAAAAGGGAAACACCGTATCGTAAGATCTTGAATCTGAGAACCAAAAGCCACTCCCAAAACCGTCGGTGGGATACTTCGATTCATGATTCTAAGAACCTCCCGAAACCGTCGGATACTTCGATTTGGCATCCATCCACCCGTGCCTACGTGCCTAGTGTCACGGCCCGGCGAGCAGAGCCCGGTGTCGATCGAATGCTGCGCTGGTTGCCGGCACCTCTCCAGCGGTAAATTGTAGCTTATACCCATAGGCCCCATAGTAGTCCCTTTTTGGGATTACCTTATCGAATTCTAAATATGAACCCCCAAAAAGGAACTACTTTGGGGCCTTTGGGTAGCTTCTACCTGAGCCCACTTAGGTTTCCCAGTGGATTCTTTGTGGCCCCGCGTGGTGGGCTGATATGAAGACACCTATCAGACCTATCAGATAAAGTGGGTGAAAGGGACAGTCTTAGTGCGCGAATAGGGAGAAGAGTATATGGTATTCCGGCAGAGTGGGCATGTGTATTTGTACTGCGTTCTGGCGATTCGCCTACAGTATACTATACTATGTGCAGCACTGGTGATCTAAGTTCCTGCGAAGCTCGCTGTCAACAACCGCTCGCTGACGGTTTCCGCTTGTGCCGGCTCTGTTGCTTGTAATTGCGGGTGGAACATATGACATGGTTGTGTTGTTGCCTGATGTCATCGCCTCGCGCAGCACCCCTCTATACCCCTCTCCGCGGATGGAGAACGGTTCATGGGTCGGCAGAAAGTCTCGTTGATATCGCATATCGGCCAGGACGGATTGAAAGTCATAATTTACATTGGTGTATGCAGAATGATATCGTTTGGGTAAGTGTGGTTTGACGGGTGTTGATGCAGTGCTATTGGAAAGGCAGTTGATACCTCTGGTCTTCTTCTTCCCTCTCCTTCGGTATCTTTGGTTTCCAGTCCTTCGCACTCCCTGCAGCTCCCTCCCTCCACCTTGCAAACTCGGAAAGATGACTTGCTTTACAGGGCAAATCGGTTGAGAGGCTGTGTAACACACCTTGATTCGCGACTTCTTACACCGTGTTGTCCTGTGTGTCGACTTGGCCTCCGTCTCTCCAGAACAAGATGCAGTCCATCAACTGGGTCATCTTCCAACTCCCAGACCTGAAGCCTACACCCGACTCACACAAGGCTGCGCACCTTGCGTGTGATCCGCCCAACGGTCATCAAGCGCTGAGTTGTGCAGGGCTACACGCGGTGCACCTGGTTCGGTCTGGAGAAACTTGGAGGAGAGAGCTGCCCTCTGTGTCACTGTATAAGAACACCAATTCGCTTAACTTGTGCTCGCGGCATAGTCAATGGTTGACGCTCTGTAAAGCCTTCGCCGAAGGTAGGCAACAGGCTACACAGTGAAAATCGGTCGTTGACATAGAGTTGTTTATTGATCTCAGACATCGTTCGAGGCATAGCCTGGTATCATCTGGCACCTGCACATTTCACCTAAGCCCAAACTCGAGCTTAGTGGCTTAGTCCAAACAAAACAAGGACACACCCCGCTGAGATTTTCAGGGGCATCCTCCCAGCGTGTCCTTGCCTCGAAGCACTGGCCGAGACAGGCCTTCAGGCGTCAGGTAGGCCGGGAGGCTCCTCGGAGACAAGAAGAAGAACAGTGCACGAAACGGAGAGTGGTGAAACTTGTGCATGCGCTTATACCTCTATGTGTACGTATGTATCTATCTATGTCTGCATGTAAGTAGGTAGGTATGTAGATAGGTAGGTCTGAACTCTATATACACATGGCGAGATGGTAAGCATGTATGTATGTATGTATATATATATATATGTATGTATATTTATAATGTACATACACGCATACATCCATCCGTTTGCCCATCCATGCATACATGTGTGTGTGTGTGCGCGCACACGTGTGCGTCTGTATACACATGTAGTATATATGCATGTGGATACAGCCGCGCGAGAATTGGGCTTCGGCCAATGTGTTCCGATCAGAAATCCGGTTGCGAAGCGAAACTGGCGATGTCTGCAGCCGAGGAGCACTCGCATGACTAGCAGCAGTGCCTTTCAATGTCAGATGGTGCAGGAGCATGTCTCACGAAGCGGACGCCATACGACTCATGATGATTTCGAGGATGATGCTGACGGCGATGGTGGCGAGGACGATTGATGACGATTTTTCCGGTGAAGAAGACAAATATGGCAGACAATCGGTAACCATTCTGCTCGACAGGACGATGGTTATGATGACGACGACTTTGCGTGGCTTTCTATTGTATAATGGTGGGAACGCATGTTGCAACCGATTGTGCTAACATGGAAAGACAACGTCGCGAGATTCCAAGGGGTTCTGCTTGTGCAGTGGCATGAGCCCTCCCATTGCAAGCAAAGGCGAAAAGCTTGCCAGGAGAATTAACCCGAGCCCTAAACCTTGCTGGGAGAATTAAGACCTTGCTCTAAATTGACTTCCTATGCGGAGTTTGAGAGGAGCCAGATTGAAGCTGGGCCACCCCAAAGACCATCAGCCGGGCCAGCTGAGGCTTCCGATGTCCTTTCCGACATAGCGCAAGGGCTTTGAGCAGGCGAGCTTTGGAAAAATTGGGTTTGGGGGGAGGGGAGGTGGGGAGGATTCCGATTTTTTGGGGCCCGGGTTGGGCACAAAGGCCCTCATCTCTCTCTCCAAGGCATTCGAAACGTTTCGAACCCCAAACCCTTTACATCAGACTTGCATGTCGCGCCTGGTTATGCCGCAAGCAGACCCTGAAAGACCGAAACTGCTGTCGGCCCATCAAAGCCCTTCAGAGCAGAGCGAGCATCTTGTCGGCCCACTCATCCGAACCCCAAACCCTAAACCCGTAAACCCTAAACCCTCAACCCTAGAAGATCCCTTTCAGGGGTCCACTTGGTGGGCATAGGGGAGATGCGAAGGTCACTGCCCCTCAACTCCTGGCCTAACCTGCTAGGGGCAGAGTTTCGGGGGCAGTAATGTAGGGGCCTGAGTAATTAGAATAGGGTTTTGGGGCCTATTATACTATAGTTATAATAAGCAACCCCCAAATTAGTATAGGTACTTATCGAGACCCCTATAGTACTTGGTATCGAGCTTAGGCCAGCTACTGGGCAACCAATCACTTGCAAATGAAGACCGAAGACCAGGTTGACCCTCGCAATCTTTCTGCACAGACTTTGCCCCTCCCTTCGAACAGAGGGCATAATGTAGTGATCGTAGCCACCCCATCATGATCACAGATCAAAGGTCCAATCTGCATAATGGACCTGTGGCTGTACAAAGCAGGCGCAAGCGCCTAACCCCGTTTGATCTTGTGAACCAGCGGTGGGGGCACGGTCGTGTGTGTGAAACGCTCCATGTCCAAACAGATCGTGTGGTGGCGAGGCGGAGGCGTCCTTGGCTTTGGCCATTCACAACTCCAAGCAAGTCCAAAAGAACAGAGCCACGGTAAACTCCTGCTGCTGCTGCTGCTTTGGAGGCGCCTGTGCCTATGCATCTTCTGCCACTATGCCCATGTCCCAGGCCCCGACTACTGCTGCTGGAGCTGCTGCTTCTACTACTTCCACGAAGTCGGCCAAGATCCCGACGACGACGGCAACTACTACTCCTACGACGACGACGACGACGATGACAACGTCGTAGTAGTAGTAGTAGTAGTAGTAGTAGTAGTAGTAGTAGTTGTAGTTGTAGTTATTATTGGTAATAGTCGTAGGACTACAACTACGACGAAAACAACTCCTCCTGCTGCAGCTGTGGTTGGCGCGGCGGCTGCTGCTTCTACTACTACTCTAGTACTACTAGTACTACTAGTACTACTAGTACTACTAGTACTACTAGTAGTAGTAGTAGTAGTAGTACTACTACTACTACTACTGCTGCTACACGTTGCTGCTGCAGCCACTAGAACACACACAGCATGATGCGACTAGCCAGACAACTGAGAAGCCAATGAGGTGGCTAGTGGCAGGAAACGAAGGACACATCAAACGGAACCAGTGCAAACAAATTGCATTAGACTGTGCTCTTGTCTGGGACTCAACGGATATACCGGTATACCTGCTCCATACCAGAAAGTAGGATGAGTAGGCAAGGACTATCTTCAGCTGTCTCTCCGAGGCTCGGCATCATGAGCTCGAGGTCTGGCTGTGGCTTCGGCTGTTTCAGCTCTGGCTCGCAGTCTCCCCCTCTCGGTGCTTCGGAAAGATGCATACAATACGCGAGCCTCCTGCAGGCATCGAAGGCCAGCCTCACAAGCTCGCAGAACATCAGGGCCGTGATATGGGAATGGCGTTTCTGCCAGACTCGGACAAGCTTCACGCACTCTGGATTGGCAATGCACCCCTCCTCTAAGCCAGAGCCCACCATGCCACACCTGGCGGGAACCCAAGCGGTGTCGTGTGAGCCATGCCACTGCTGCTGATTCTCGTGGCCCTGGCGGTCCACAATGCAGACCCGACCCAGAACCACCCGAAGCTCGAGGATCACGCCATTGTGGCCACCATAGGCCAAGACCTTGTTTATGTCCCGCGAAACATAAACGCCGCGTCCAAGCATGCCGGCGGCGGACGGGCGGAATCCTTCCAGCCCAATACTAATAGCATTTTCGGTTGTCGTCCCGTGGTATGCGCGGATCTCCGTCATGCTGGAGGGGGGTGCCCGCCTCTTCATCA